TTCTATTCTATTACGCAAATTCAAATAACGAGCTTTCTTTTTTTTTTTTAATCCTCATCCGAGGACATTTTTCCATTTTTTGTACAGACAAAGTGGGAGGGAGAGAGAGGAAGAGAGAGAGAGAGAAACATCGATGTGAAAGGGACACATCGAGTGGCTGCCACCCGCACGACCAACCAGGGCCGGGGACAAACTGCAACCGAGGTGTACGTACCCTTAGCGGAACCGAACCCGGGTCTCTCCGGACCGCAGGCGGACGCTCTAACCGCTGAGCCAAACCGGCCAGGGCTAACGAGCTTTCTTATGCAAACGCCATCAGTTTATACCCTCCTTATGGCAAGGCCGCGGAGTTCAGCGAGGTAACGGCTGCTTGGACAGACTCGGGAACTGACCGCAGGTAACCGACCTAGTCGCGTGCCCCTCGGCAGGAGTAGAATCTACCGGCTGTGTGTATCCCTCAGTCTGGCTGAACCCCAGCTCCGGGTTTCTCACCTCACATCAAACACGGCGGCAGATGTACCAACAGAGGTTACGGGGCCCCTCCCAGACGTCGCATGCAGAGAGATACAGTTCTGTAATTAAGCCGCTGTTCACCAATGTGGAAATAACACAGTGTATTGGAAAACAGTAATTAAGCAAACTATCATCTGTGTAACAGCAGCCACACGCGGAGCCGTAGAACCGAATCTGCCTGGCACCGCGCGGCTCCTACCGCGGTCGGGCCGGGACGCAACGTATCCGGGGCCTTCCCGCTGCGATGCTCCGGGAGGCACCTCGGGACCACCCACGGGGTAGATGGGCCCAACAGCTGGGAGAGGCACCATCCGCGTGCTCTTCCTGGTGTCCCTCTGAAGGCCGGCTCGCCCCGCTGGGCTGGGACTTGGGGGGGATGGCGGGGAGAGCTGAGAACCTGGATGCGAAGTCAGTGAGGTGGTTGCGGAGGGCAGTGGCGGTTTCTCGGAGGAGGAGGGGAGCGGTCTGCAGGCCCAGCTGCAGGGGGGCAGGGGAGGGCAATGCGAAGAGGGAGCAGATGACCACAGCCGGTGCATGTGGGGTGAACCCAGGCTGGGGGTGAACACGGCTCAGTGCACACTCCGCAGCAGGTGAGGTGTCAGGATCACAGTTCACACCTGCCCAGCTCCCCAACCTGGCAGCCGGTCCCCAGTGTCCCCGGGGAAGCTGGTGTGGACGGTGTGTGCGCCCTGGCCAGGACGTCCACGCACATGTCGAGCCTCGAGAAACTGCAGCTGTCCGGTCTACCGCCTGGCACCCGGGGGACGGTCCCAGGCTTGTATCTCTGAGAAGCTCCGGGTGCCTCCCCTCCGGCTTCGGTGGACGGGACGCTGCGCTCTGGCTGCAAGGATGAGACCGACGGGGCAGGGTGACGCGCACAGGAGCCCAGGCTGGCCCCTCGTCCCACAAACACCTCGGAGCTCCTGCGACCAGAGGAGCTCAGTGCCTGGGACAGCGTCCATCTGGCCCCGGCCCCGAGAAGGCGCTCAGTAGTTCAGTCACGTCCGTCATCCCTTAAGGAGAGACCCCACTGATCCGAGCCGGGCAGAGGGATGGGAATGCCGCCGGGAGGAGGCCGGACAGGCAGGCTCGCGGTGAGCGGGATGGGAGCCGGAGGGGACGGCGGGAGGAGTCACAGGGAGCCACGCCTGAGCTGCAGGGACGCACACTCCGTGGCGCACTCCGGCCTGCGTGCCGGACGGCTGGCAAAGGGCTCAGAAACACGCCCCTCCTCCCCCTCACGCTCAGTGGTCTGACACCAACCACTGGTCACCGGACCGGACCCCGTGTTCGCGAGAGAGAAACGGGATCCGGAGGAGGAAATGTCTCCCTAGGAGCCAGAGTCCCATTCTCAGTCAGTCTTCATTCTCCAAGCCTCTGACCAATGCCAAGCGGGACCCCCGCTCCAGGACACCCCCAGGGGAGGCCCGGTGGCAGGTGCTTCACGGGTGACCCAGCTCTGCCTGTATCGCTTCCGAGTCCCGCTTCCCGGGGTCAGGTGGCTCCCTCGGACGCTGAAGACTCGCGTGTCCAGAAGGTGACACGTACTTTCCTGGCCCGGGAGCTGTGCTAACACGTGACTGGCTGTCCCTCCAATGCGTCCCGCCCGCCGCAGGTCCTGCGAGGGGGCAGCCCGTCGGCCACCGTGCACCAGGCACACCCATGGACAGGTGCCGTCTGGCCCCGCAACCTTCCATCCCAGGCCCAGGGCAGCACCAGGAGGCGCGTAAAGGAAGACGCAAAAGTGCCGGAGAGAAAACTCTCCTGGTGGGTTAGAAGCAGCGGGAGAGGAGGCAGAGAAGCATCCCCGCATCGAGTCTTCCCCGGAGGGCTGGGCGGCACGCAGACAGGGCAGCCGCTGGCACCACTGGGCCCACGGGCCCCTCGTGTCTGCAGCGGAGCAGCAGCGGGAGCAGAGATTCCCGCTCCAGCCCAGGGTGACTCACCCCGCCCTCACGCCATCCCCCAGCGGTGCTGTTCTCATCCTCATTCCATGAATATTTTATTCTCAGAGCAACGATTCCACGTCCCCCATAAATCTGGCAGCGGCTCTCACCGCGTGTGCGGAGCGGGGTCCGCTCACCTGCGCCAGTAACGACATAATCGCCTGCTTCCTGAGAAAATATGAGCGCGACCCACATGAATATTAACGGGTGAACGCACCTTACGACTCTTCCTCGAGTGGGCGTCTGCACTCACGAGCCGTTAAACATGCCCGGGACTCCGCCCAGAGACGGCTCTCGGCTCGGACGGATGCGGCCAGTGCCCCGCACCAAGCCCCCGGGGCTGCGCCGGCCCCTCCCCGAGGGCGGGTTCTCTGCAGAAAGCACGCGCAACCGGCAACGCCACACAGGCCCGGATGGAGCAGCCTCGGGACTCGTGCACGGTTTAAAGAGAGGCATCTGGACTCCTGTCCTGGAGCCATGTTCCTGGTTCCCACTCCCACTGGGATAAGGTTCGAACCAGGCCTGAGGCTCTGGTCAGCCCCACGCTGTCCACCGGCCGGACAGGCAACTTCCAGCCTCGTCCCAGCCCCAGGGTCTGTACGACCCCTTCAACACTCAGCTCCAACAACCCCGCGCCTCAGAACGCTCCGCTCACAGTGCCCACACCCCATGGCCCCCCCGTGCCCAGGCCGCCGGGTGCCCCTCAGCACTGACTAACTCTGCTCCCTTCAGGACGGCCCCGCCCTGCAGGACAGGTGCACCGGGCTGGCCTTTCTGGGTCACCTGCCGCTGTGGGGGTGTGGGGTCCCCTGAGAACAGCACTCGTGCTCCTACATACGCATCAAAGGAGGAAGAAGAGGAGGGAGTGACGTCATTTGAAGAGCAGAAACCCATAAAAACAGGGAAAAGACAGAATGTTTTCTGCTGTGGAACACCCAAAGGGGCTGGAGGAAAGGCAGCTGCTCCCCAACCCGCCGCGGCATCGTCCCCCAGTCCCACCCCCCGCCGTCTGGAAGCAGCCGGCGCCTGGGCAGGAGGCCCCACACCTGCGGGCAGGGCCCATGTCTGGCTCCTCACCTCCCGTGCCTGGGACCCTGGGCATCGGCGGGAAGGGAGGTGTTCCTGTCTCCTCGGCTCCCCTCTGCCTTCCGTGTACCCCCGGGCTCTCTCCCTCCCTCCCTCTCTCTCTCACACACACACCCTGACGCTTCATTCTGGGCTGTCCGGGCTGAGCCAGTCCTAAACACTCGACTAGGGGAGGTGAAGACACACGACGGACGCAGACAGGGACTTCTACCCGAGGAAGAACAGCCTCTCCCTGAACCCGGCTCACCAGGAACCTTCTGGAGGGCTGAGCCTGAGTCTGTGCCCCTTGGGTCCCCACGACACCCACACCGTCCCAGGACAGCACCTCCGTGACGGTGCGATGCTTGCCCGCCTGGGTATCGCTCCTGTTCCCCGACCCAGGGGCATGTGCACAAAGAAAACGGGCCATGGGCATCGGTTTAAAAAACAAGCAACGGAGAGTGGGTACAGTGTGGGCGGGTCCTCGCTGGTCCTGCGGCAGCTCCCACTGACACTGGTGCTCACAGACCAGGTGTGAGAAGCAGGTGGAGACTCCGCCGTGCCCCCACCCCAGGGCTCCGGCTCCCTCTCAGGCCGTGCACGGGGCGGCAGCGCCTCCCGGCGGCAGGGGTGGCGGCCACGGCCAGGCTGCCTCTTTGGGTTTGGAGCCGGTTACTTACTGCTGCTTGCTGGCATTCACACCTGTCTGCCTCCACACCTGCAAGTGGAGCTGCGTCTGGGAGCAGCCGGGCGTGTGTGACCCGCAGTGACGCCTGTGAGGGACCGAGGGCCCTGCCGCGCCGCCTGTGTGCGGGCTCTGATGGCGGGGTGTCGTCTCCGGGGGACCTTAATGAAGGCTTCGTATGTTTTAACAAACGAGCCTGAAGAAGGCAGCGTGAAGGGTGGAATCAGCTGGAGGCTGGCACGCCCAGGACGGGCAGCGCCCAGAGCCCGGGTCTGGACAGAGCCGCAGGGTCCCCTGTGGAGGGTGCGCCGGGCGGAAAGTGGGCGGAGTGGGGTCCTATGAGGAGGGACCAGAGGAGGAAGGAACCCTGGGCAGGGCCGGTCCCCTCGGGCGCTGGGAGAGCGGCCCCGGGCCCTTGGTGAGACCCCGGAGGGAACCAGGCGGGAATGTGGTCTCCTGTCCCCTGCAGTGGGTCCCGCCAGCCCGGCACAGGGCGGGGTGGGGGAGGGGCCTCCGGCGCTGCTGGGCTGCACCCTCTACAGGTGGAGTTGGGCCTCAGTGGCTGCGGCTGGTACCTTGGCCCTTTGTTCCAGCAAGAAAACATCCTCGGCATTTGTTCTCTGGCTTAAAAGTGAAAATGAAACGATGACACCATCCCCCAACACGAAACACTGCGGTGTCCAGACAGGCGACTCGGGTAAATGCCGACTGGAAGGAAGCCACCCGCCACGTAGCCCAGGAGACCCTCCAGCCCCAGGCGGCGGAAGGGGACGCAGGACCCTGGCACGGACCTCTTTGGGGGTCTCCTGGTGGCACCGGTTGCTGCTCCACCACCACTCCAGGACAGCCACCAGGCAGGCCAGGAGGAGGCCGATGGCCAGGACGCAGAAGACTCCGGCGAAGCTGTGCAGCTTGAGGGCCCTGCCGTCGGCCTGGGCGCCGGCGTGGGTGGCGCGTTCACAGCGGCCCGTGTGCGGCCACCACTTCTGCTTCAGCACGTCCAGGTCCCCGGCGTCCTGCAGCTCCAGGATCCTGCAAGACACGATCCACGTGAGCCACGGGGTCCGGCCCACCACGGCACCCTCCGCAGCCCTGCCCTGTCTCCCTCCCGGTCTCTCTCCCCTCTGCAAGCAGAGTGCTCTTTCGAAATCCCCCTCGGGTTTGTCACTCTCCTCCTCAACAGCCTCGAAGGCCTCCCCCACCACTGCCAAGGACGAAGTCCAGTAGCCAAGCACAGAAGGACCCTTCCCGTGGGATCCTGGGGCCAGCTCTGAGGATGGAGTCAGGAAATACAGAAACAGTGAGACGCACTCAGACCGTGGACTTAGGATGTGAGCGCTAACAAAATGATTTCTCTCAAACCTCAATGACTGTGTCCTAAGTCTCTCCCACCAGGATGTGCCAAATCATCATTCATTCATTCACTCATTGTGCCAAGTATGATGTCAACATGGCTGAGCGACGGTCCAGACACACACACACACACACACACACACACACAGACACCCTCAGAGCAGAAGCTGAAACCAACACGAGATGAAGGCAGATGCTAGAAACACCAGGAGGTGACAGGGGCGTGGGGCCCTGAAGGGTGATTCCTCGTAAGACAGCTCCAACCAACCAGCACATCCGACGTGTTAAGAAGTATTCTGCCCTGGCTGTGTGGCTCAGTGGGTTGGGCAACATCCTGTGCACCAAAAGGTTGTTGGTTCAATTCCCCATCAGTCAGGGCACATGCCTGGGTTGCAAGTCTGATCCCCAGTAAGGGGCATGCAGGAGGCAGCCAGTGGATGTTTCTCTCTCTCTCCTTCTCCCTTCCTCTCTCTCTAAAAATCAATAAAAACATTTCGTTTTAATTAGAGGGGGAGAGAGAGAGAGAGAGAAACATAAATGAGAGAGAAACATCAATCGGCTGCCTCCTGCATGCCCTCTACTGAGGATCAAGCCTGCAACCCAGGCATGTGCCCTGACCAGGAATCGAACCGTGAACCGGGACCTCTCAGTCTGTGAAACAGCACTGAGTCTCCTGAACCACACCAGCCGGGTTAAAAATATATCTTTACAAAAAGTACTTTGAGTGCCTCACAAATGGTGTTAATTCTCATGTCAATGCTTTGCGATGGTTACTTCCATGTTCCCACTTTCACAAAGAACAAAATTGAGGCACAGAGAGGTGAACTATTTTGTCAAAGTCCCTTTATGGCTGTAGTCAGTGAAAAGAAAAAAGAACCTTCTGGGGACTAGAGCCACGTCTGAGAGCCTGGTCTGAGTAAATGCTCACCATGTCTGAGAAGCTACAGTGTAGCCAGTGAGACTGAAGAGCGGGACTGTGCCTACAATGTAGCCAGTGAGACTGAAGAGCTGGGCAGTTCCTACAATGTAGCCGGTGAGACTAAAGAGCTGGGCAGTGCCTGAGAAGCTACAATGTAGCTGTTGAGACTGAAGAGCTGGGCTGTGCCCGAGAAGCTACAATGTAGCCAGTGAAACTGAAAAACGGGGCTGTGTCTGAGAAGCTACAATGTAGCCGGTGAGACTGAAGAACTGGGCAGTTCCTACAACGTAGCCGGTGAGACTGAAGAGCTTGGCTGTGCCAGAGAAGCTACACTGTAGCCAGTGAGACTGAAGAGCTTGGCTGTGCCAGAGAAGCTACACTGTAGCCAGTGAGACTGAAGAGCTGGGCTGTGTCTGAGAAGCTATAATGTAGCCAGTGAGACTGAAGAGCTGGGCTGTGTCTGAGAAGCTACAATGTAGCCAGTGAGACTGAAGAGCTGGGCTGTGTCTGAGGAGCTACAATGTAGCCGGTGAGACTGAAGAGCTGGGCTGTGTCTGAGGAGCTACAATGTAGCCAGTGAGACTGAAGAGCTGGGCTGTGTCTGAGAAGCTACAATGTAGCCAGTGAGACTGAAGAGCTGGGCTGTGCCTGAGAAGCTACAATGTAGCCAGTGAGACTGAAGAGCTGGGCTGTGCCCGAGAAGCTACAATGTAGCCAGTGAGACTGAAGAGCTGGGCTGTGCCTGAGAAGCTACAATGTAGCCAGTGAGACTGAAGAGCTGGGCTGTGTCTGAGGAGCTACAATGTAGCCGGTGAGACTGAAGAGCTGGGCTGTGTCTGAGAAGCTACAATGTAGCCAGTGAGACTGAAGAGCTGGGCTGTGTCTGAGGAGCTACAATGTAGCCGGTGAGACTGAAGAGCTGGGCTGTGTCTGAGAAGCTATAATGTAGCCAGTGAGACTGAAGAGCTGGGCTGTGTCTGAGAAGCTATAATGTAGCCAGTGAGACTGAAGAGCTGGGCTGTGTCTGAGAAGCTACAATGTAGCCAGTGAGACTGAAGAGCTGGGCTGTGTCTGAGGAGCTACAATGTAGCCGGTGAGACTGAAGAGCTGGGCTGTGTCTGAGAAGCTACAATGTAGCCAGTGAGACTGAAGAGCTGGGCTGTGTCTGAGAAGCTACAATGTAGCCGGTGAGACTGAAGAGCTGGGCTGTGTCTGAGAAGCTACAATGTAGCCAGTGAGACTGAAGAGCTGGGCTGTGTCTGAGAAGCTACAATGTAGCCAGTGAGACTGAAGAGCTGGGCTGTGTCTGAGGAGCTACAATGTAGCCGGTGAGACTGAAGAGCTGGGCTGTGTCTGAGGAGCTACAATATAGCCAGTGAGACTGAAGAGCTGGGCTGTGTCTGAGGAGCTACAATGTAGCCGGTGAGACTGAAGAGCTGGGCTGTGTCTGAGGAGCTACAATGTAGCCAGTGAGACTGAAGAGCTGGGCTGTGCCCGAGAAGCTACAATGTAGCCGGTGAGACTGAAGAGCTGGGCTGTGTCTGAGAAGCTATAATGTAGCTGGTGAGACTGAAGAGCTGGGCAGTTCCTACAATGTAGCCGGTGAGACTGAAGAGCTGGGCTGTGCCCGAGAAGCTACAATGTAGCCAGTGAGACTGAAGAGCGGGGCACTGTGTGAGGAGGAGGACGTTGTGAGATGAAGATAGAAAAGTGGGCAGAACCAAGAACATGGGCTCTGGTTGGGGGGCGGGAGCTTGGATTTCACCCATGTGCACATGTGTGGCAACCCCCAGGCCCTGTGTTCCCCACACAGCTGGTGGGTGGTGGTTTTCCTCTGTGGTGTATTTGTGAACGCCCTCCGTCGCCAGGGCCTGAACAGTGAGCTGGTGGCAGCAGGGAGCACCAGGCTCCTCACTCAAGTGTTTCCATCTAGAGGGGCTCTCTAAGCCCAGTCTGTGATGATAGATTCAGTTGACAACACTCTGGCCCCTCTGGGGTGCACAGAGTGAGCACAGCGATGCTTCACAGCCAAGAGAAACCCACTGTCAGCTGCCCCGGCGAACAGTCTCCGCCCTGGAGCTGCATTGCATGTGGACAGCTGACCACAGGCTGAGGCTGAGCGGCCGTGCACAGGCTGAGTGGCCGTGCACAGGCTGTCACTGGTGGACAGGTGGGGTCACAGCCCAGGTGGGTTTCCTACCGTCAGCACCATGGGCCCAGCGTAGCGTGGCCCCTCACTGGCTGGGCACAGCCTGCCTCAGTGTGGAAAGTAGGCTTTGGGAGCACCGGACCTCCGCTGGCTGTGCTCAGACAAGTGTCGTGCCCTGTCAACCTCAGCTCCCCTATCTTTGCAGAACCAGCCCAGGATCCCCGCGAAGTGAGTAGATCCTTTGGGACAGGGACTGTGCGTCACTGTTCACATTTTCCCCTAACCAAGCACGGCAGCCAGCACAACCTGGCCGTCAAGTGGGTGTCTGGGGCATCACTAAACGCATGCGCGCATGAGCTGAAAATAAACCTGAACTCAGACGGCCATCGGGAGACCGTGAGATCGTGTCCATTACGTGCAGGGTGCAGATCAGCACTGGAGACTTAGAAAGTGGCCGTGCGTGGGGGGGCCTGGTCCTTGAGATGACCCCATGGTTTACATGTGTGTGTTTGGCGTGGGGTCGGGCTCAGTGTGCTGCTGAGTCCAGAGACCTCCGGCATGCACATGGCAGGATTCCTGGGGCAGCCACAGTGTCCCACTACCCCGCGGGGCTCAGGACATGTTAGGGAGGCTGGCGTCCACTGGTCACACCAGCCAGCCATTAATGCAGTCTGGCCCAAGTAGGCTGGGCCCCGGGCAGTTCCGGAAACCCAGGGCTGGAGATGCGGACCTCAGGGCCTTTGGGAGGGCCCGAGGTTACTGGCTCACTACGGCGACCACTGAGCATCCTCTTCACTGCACGGTTCTGTGTGATGGACATCGGTTCCCACCCAGACTCTGACTTCGTCCCAGCCACAGACATGCTCCCCTTAACGCCAGCTCTGTCATCGTGCAAGTCTGAGACCGTGATACATGCACCTGCCTCCCAGAATTACGGTCACGGAGGGAAAAGAGGGAGCACATGCCATCCCCTAGGCCAGAGACCTGGTCAGCAGTAAGAGCCCCAGGGACAGCTGCGGTCTGGCAGCCACACTCGGCCCAGCATTGACGGGGCCGCCTTCTGCTGAGAACGCAGGGGCGCTGAGCAGTTCACAGTGTCGCCCTCACAGCACCTTCGAAGTGCTTCTTGCCCTGTTGGTTTACTGTTGAAGGCGGAGGCCCAGACCCTAGATGACCCGCCCACAGTTGCAGTTGGAAAGTGGCCAAGCTCCTCCTCAGGCTGAGTCCAGCTGACCCGAGAGGCCGCGAACCTTCCAGAACAGCAGGCGGCTCCGGGAAGTCAGCCTGCCCCTGAGGGGGGCTCTGGCTGGGGGGTGGTGAGACGGGCAGGCCCCCTCTGCCCTGACGGGTCGCAGCGCCGGGCGGGCCGCCCACTTATGCTGATGTGTCTTCTTTCGGCTCCTTATAATCGTAAGTGTTTTTTACACCCAACACTATTCCAGGACGAATGTAAGGCAATTTATAGGAAAACATAGGCTAAACTACAAAGCAAACAAATCAGGAAGAAAATGTAAGTATGTAAGCAAGCGAGGAAAGATAAAACAAGTCACAGGCACAAAATGACTCCCAGAACGAGGCTGAGCGCAGGCACCCCCCCATCATCCATGCTGC